TACGTAATTTATTTTATGAAGGTATGTTCTGGCAAATAAAAAAAATTACCAGGAATCTTTACTAATTTTTAGTTGTGCAAGCTGTAAATTTTACGACTTAAACAAAACAATCTTGGTAGACCTTTGTTGTAAACCTCCTGTTCTTCAAGAAGTCCCAGTTCTTCAAGTTCTTCAAGAAGTCCCAATAAGATTATGGGCATAGAAAGAGATCTCCGGAAGAAGCCTGGGCTCCCTTAGAATAAAAATCTGATGCGCGCTCACACAACTTTCACTTACCGCTCACTTGTGAATAGAAATTATTTTCTGGCCAGGTTGGGCTATATAAACTTTTTGAATTACATTTTTTACTGAACTAAAGCTAAAAAATTACAGCTAATATATCATAAATACCCTTAAAATAACAAAAGTCCTATTTATTATATCACATAATTGGTTTATGTATATACAGAATTTATTCAATAAAATTCTGAAGAATGAGGAGGTGCCTAAATCATGGGCTGAAATTTCAAGCATAATGATATTTAAGAAAGAGGACCGAGGAAACCCACTTAATTATTAAGACAGATTGTTATAACAGACAGATTGTTATAATACTCAATAAAGAAATTTAAAAAAAAAAAAAATTATAGAAACATATCTATGGCAAACTGTGCTTTCAAAATTTTGACCCAAATCCTGTTGGAACGAATAACATCATGGACAGACCTGAATGCCAATCAGGATTCAGAAAAAGGAGAAGCTGCTTAGATAATGTTTTTGTCATAAATGCCGTTATCCAAAACCAATTTTTAAAAGAGAAGTCTAACATTTTCGTTATTCTCGTTGACTTTCGTCGGGCTTTTGACTCCATAAACCACAACCTACTATGGCACAAACTTTTTTCTATAGGTTTGAGTGGGAAAATAATTCGAGTTATGGGAAACGTGTATGATAATGCGTACACATAAATAAAGGGAACCGCTGGAGAACTGTGGGCAAAAGTTTAAAATTGCCGAAGCTGTGCTACAAGATGAGACACTGAGTCCAATGCTATTTAATCTTTTAATCTTATCTGATATTGAGCGTAACCTGGCTGGTATACCTATTAATGGGTGTGTTGACATACTGTTGCTCTTGTTTGCACACGACATGGCATTTTTGCTGACTCCTATACCGACCTTGTAAAAAAAAATTAATGCTTTAAATGTATACTGCAGAGACAATAAACTAATTATAAACATTGATGAAACGAAAATTTTGAATTTTCCTAGTGGGCGCCCAAAGAAATATAATGGTATATATTTGGATGGAGAACAGATTGATACAGTGAAAGTATGCTATAGCTAACATCGCCATAAGTTGAAAGGACAATGGACGAAACAATTTAGTTAACAGGCTATATTACGTCTAAATTGCTTGCTTGTCAATCCAATTGTGTGGGAGTAATCTATCAGTCACTAGGATACTTTGTCTTAAGCTTGTTTACAATTTTTTTGCGCTCTTAATATGCATTAGGTATTACCCATATTAGTTCAAAGTTTAAGTTTTAGCATCGCTCGACGTTTCCGATTACTTCAGCACTTACTAGACAAACGTTCTAATCTTCCAATTAATTACAAAAGACTCATATACTTGACTATAATAAGGCCTATTTGGACTTACGGAGTTGAGCTATGGGGCTCCACTAAACCATCGAATTCCTCTCGTATCCAATCCAAAATCATTCGTAAAATCCTCAATGCTCCCTACTTTGTTACAAATAAAACCATCCATAATGACCTTAATGTTCCTTTTGTTTCAGATCTGGCCCAATCCAGATACCTTTCCTTCCATAATAAACTTCATAATCATCCCAACCCTCTCGTTTCTAACCTTGCTTCCTCTTCAATTCCTGATAACCCTCCGAGGCGTCTGAAAAGAAGATGGCCCCGTGATCTCCTAATGTAAACATATCATTAGAGTGCTACCATTGGGTAGTTACTCAGCAAGTGTTTTTTTATGGCATTATATACATTATGTTCTAATTTACTAGATGTATTTATTTGATACAGTTGTAAATGTATTTAAGAAAAAAAAAAAAAAAAAAAAAAAACATTTTTAGCATTGAAAACGACAGCAAAGTCAGCAAACGGAGAATTTTACCATCTTTGACGAGATATATTTTTATAAACTACTGCAGTTTTGAAATCAGCTTAATAATAAGAAATGAAATGAAAAAAAACTAATGCTATAAAAGTTGCAGTGACATTATGTATGACTGAGTTATTATATTTAAAATAATAATTCATTTGCCAACGGGATGCAAGACCGATTTTTAGTTTAGGGAAATGTTCAGCATTTCATCCTCTTTGTAATGGCATATTATTCAAAATTTTATCTTGACGCGATTCCGTGTTAGAGAGGCTAAAAGGGAAAAAATAGATTCGAAAACTAAATGATAACGAGTTTTATTGAAGATATGGATTAAAATATCTCAGAAACTAAAAATCGGATCTACATACTGTAAGCAAGGGAAATGTTCATATTTGCATCCTCTTTCTAATGATGTATTACTCGAAATTGTATCGCGACGAAGAGAAAATTTTCTTAAAATGCCTCATTTTCTTAAATTTTTGCTGTGTTCAAATGCCTCTAACACCTTAAATCGACCTACCAGAGCTGGAAGATGAGCATTTTCGTAATACGTAAAAGGAGTGCTATCATCCTATCAGGTTGAAAATTTGCTTAACAAGCAGTTAAATTCAGTAGTTAAATAATTAATTCAGCAGATAAAACGTGTATCATTTTTTTTTCGGTTGGCTCTACAGACCTTGTAGATCTTTGGTCTGAACGCCACCTCTAGCTATCTTGGGCTACTGCTTTCCAGTTTGCGGCATGAAGCTCAGCCGTATCTTTGTTTATCCTGCTCAGATAGGTCGATTTAAGATGTTAGAGGCATTTGAACACAGCAAAAATTTAAGAAAATGAGGCATTTTAAGAAAATTTTCTCTTCGTCGCGATAAGATACAATTTTGACTAATAGATAATTAGAAAGATGATGAAAATATTAACATTTCCCTAGTCTACAGTTTCAGGTCCGAATTTTCGTTTTTGAGATATTTTAAACCATATCTACAACAAAACTCGTTATCATTTGGTTTTCGACACTATTTTTTTCCTTTCCGTCTCTCTAACACGGCGTCGCGTTAAGATACAATTTTGAATAATATGCTATTACACAGACGATGAAATATTTAACATTTCCCTCGCGCTTATAGTATGCAGGTCTGGCTTTTAGTTTCTGAGATATTTTAATCCATAGACATGTTTTGAGAATTAACCAATTTTGCATATGAATGAAAATATCTTAGAAACTAAATATCGGTGACATAAAAATAAACAGAAAAACCGCAAGGACTTATTTGCCAACCCAATATATTGTAGGTAACATACAGCTTGAGTATACAAATTTCATCCATCTGAGATCAATAAACTTTAATATTTTCCCATTTTCTCAAAAGATAGGATATCACAATATAATTTTAAATGTAAATATCAATTTAATAAATGTTTTACATAATTGATTTTATGAAGGTATGTCTTGGCTAATAAAAGAAATTACCTGAAATCTTTTAATAATTTTTAGTTATGTAAGCTGTAAATTTTACGACGTAGCTGTAAACTAAACAATCTTGGTAGATCTTTGTTGTAAACTCCCTGTTATTCAAGTATAAGAAGTCCCAATAATACTCTTATGGGCTTAGAAAAGTATCTCCGATAGAAGCCTGTCCTCCTTTAGAATAAAAAAAGATTAAAAACTTTTCACGATCGCAATGCTTTCCTTTACTATATATTTCATATATATAGGTAAGTGAAAGTAAAAATAAATACCAGGATGTAAAAAAAAAAATATCAAAATTTTAAATTATTTTGCCAATAAATGATTATTAGTATTGAAGTTTTATTAATATTAAATATAGTTTTAATACTTTTTAAGATATCATCCTATTAGGTTGAAAATTTGCTTAAAATACAAGCAGTTCGAGTATTTAATTTTTCGGGTTTACCCAGCTGTTTTGAGATAGATGGAAATAAAGATACCTCATAGTAACTTGAGTGTTCCTTAAAATAGAATTTAATTTTAGGCCTATATATACAATGCTATTTATGCGTTACGCTTTACACCTTAGTGCATACGTTAACTAACACTTTAATAGGATAGTGGAAAAACGCTAAATAGATTAATTATAGAAATGTTTTACATCAAACAAATTTCATTTATCTCAAGGATTTTTTTTTTTCGTTATTACAAATGTTTTACAACAATTTTTTCCTATGCCGTCATTCGAATTCTTTTTTTTTGGCAATTATAGGTTTATATTCAATCAACTTTGATAATAAACCTATCTCAATTTGCTTTGTGAAATCGATAACCTCTACCGGTACACATAGCATTCACTCTCCGAGTGGTGACTGATGAAACAATTGTAGATTAAGATCAATTTCATCCTCAATATCATTTAATCTGAGATAAAAATGTTTGTTTTTTTTTTTTTTTTTGTAACATATTCAATAAAGCTATTTATAATATTATCGTATTAATTGTGTAAACATTACACCATTCAATGTTTCAATGCCGTAATGAGGTATCGAAGTATTTCAAAGACAACAAATCGAGACGGAAAAAATTATGTTTTTAAGATTTCGGCACGGTCATCAGGACTCGATATATCTAGTCCTGTCATACTGTTACAAGGAATTATATACAGATTTCAACACAAATTTTTTTTTTTCTTAAAAACTGTACTAGAAAATAAAATATATATATCTATAAAGAGTAAATAAAAAAATAAATTACTCAAAATATTCCCCTTTGGCCTTGATACAGGCATTTAATCTCCGTGGCCAGTCATCAATAGCGTACTACGCAGCTCTCAACTGCTTGGACCAGAGATTGTTTGAGGCCTTCCAAGTTAGGATGTGCTCTGTGGCATGCCATCCTCTCCAGTTCCGACCAAAGTCAATAATCTAGTGAGTTGAGATCAGATCTTCCTGAGGGCCAATCCGAGGCAGAGATGAACTTTGGAATGTTCTTTTGCAGTCACTTCTGAGTTGACCTGGCCTTGTGAGCTGGAGCGGAATCCTGCTGGAAAACCGAATTTCCTGTAAACAGAGTATTATTTAGAGGCTTTACAACAGGTTCAAAAATATCGTCCTAAGTTTTCAGCGGCTGTTTTAACTCCTTTTTCACAAGAATAGAGCTTTGTGGTGCCATAAAAGCAAACTCTCTACCAAACAATGACAGAGGAAGGGCGATGACCTCTTTCCACTCTTCCAATGATTTCCTGGGCTTCTTTAGAGCTGTGTACGTGCACACGATCATTTTGGCGATTGAAATTTTTCTCATCGCTAAAAAAAATCTTTCGATGAAGACCATTGGTGTAACGGCCAAGGAGCACTTTTCACCTATCAACTCTAATTTTTTTTAGGGAAGTCATTCTTTGGAATGCACCCATCGTAAGGTTACTTTTTATTATGCGAGACCTTTTTTGCTACGGGTTCCCGCCCTAAATGATCTAATGTGCCAAAATTATAGATCTTGAGCGACTACAATAATGGATTAGTATAGGTCCAGAATATAGCTGTGACTAATTGCTGAACTATTAAACTGGAGGGATATTTTACAATGGGACAAATCAATCATATATTACGTTAATTTTTATTTTGTATGTTAAATAGGCGATCTTGATAACAGAATATTGTATACTACTCATAAACAAATACAATTACTGAATATATTATAGCACGTGTTCCTTTAATGTTAATTAGTTACATAATTGTTCGAAAATCGACCATAATTATTATTGAAAATTGTAGGAAAACATAAATGAGTTTGCATGTTTCCAACATTTTTTTTCTTGTATATTCGTACATAAACTTTTATGTTTACTTATAATACAAAACAGTACCATTTGTTTACTTTTTGAGTTATTGGCTAGTAAAATTCTGAATCCGTCTTTACTTTTTCAAACAAATATTTGAACCCCCTTTGCTCCTTTCGTAGGTGCAATATGCCAATTATTGGGTTGGCAAATGAGTCCTTTCAGTTTTACTGTTTATTTTTATGTCACTGTCATACACTTCTTATCTGATGAATTAATCCCTAAGGTGGATTGTTTATTCTGTTTGTAATATGTCTACAACTATATCTGTTAACTCTTCTTGAAACTAGCTTAGTATTGTGTTTGCTATTGCACTGTAAATATCGGCATATGTTGTTGTTTTATTTTAAAAAAGGTAAGCGTGCTGCAGAAGCTCATAGAAAAATGTGCAGTGTTTATGGGAACGATGCCTTAATCTAACGCACATGTCAAAATTTGTTTGCCAAATTTCTTTCAAGAAAATTTGACATCAATAATGCTCAACGGTCTGGTTGCCAAAATAAAATTAAAACGAGCAATGTTAAGGCCATTGTTGATCAAAATCTCACCCAATCAGTGCGAGAGATTGCTATGGCCCTGAATGTGGCGCACAAAAGCGTAGAAAACCATTTGCACAGGCTCGGCTATGTTTCCAGGCTTAATGTTTGAGTCCTTCACTCTCTAACCGAAGTCGACTTGTCAACACGCATTTCTGTTTGTGATTCACTACGGAAACGGCAACAAAACGACCCATTTTTGAAAATATTGGAGATGATAACGGATATTTTACTGTGATATCGTCCGTAGAAAACCTTGGGGACCTAGTAGTACGGCTCCCAGAAGAACGTCGAAACCCGGATTGTATCCAAATAAGATAATGAAATTTCCATATTGTGGGATTTCAAGGGTATTATTTTCTATGAGCTATTGCCATCAGGACAGCTAGGCCATCAACCTATTAAAAATAAACCCCTAGAACTGGCAAATCGGAAGGGTGTTGTGTTCCAACAAGACAACGCTTAGGTCCCATACTCATAATAATTTATTTCGAGAGACCAATGTCTCTCGAAATAAATTATTATCCCTTAAATAGAACCTTTGGCCCTACCCTCCCTCTTCACCAGACCTAACTTCAAGTGACTACCATTTATTCAGGTCTCTGCAGAACTCCATGAATGGAAAGAAATTCCAAAAGGAAGAGGACATCAAAACCATTTGGATCAGTTTTTTAACAATAAACACCGAACATTCTATGAACATGGTATTATGCATTTATAAGAAAAATGGGAGAAAGTTTTATTAAATAATGGTCAATATATTGTAGTTTTCCTAAAAAATATAAACCGAAAAAATTGTTTAAAACGAATGCAATAAGAATATCTTGTCGGAAACGATTCTTTTCGATTATGATGATTTTGTTTGTAATTTTGTAGGGAATTCAGAATGCTTCCAAATACATATAACTTTAATGAACCAAAAATTGTTTACTCTATGTGTTATTCGCAAATAAAATTCTTAATCCATCGTTACTTTTGTTTAGTTTCTTTTTGGGGAAGTATATGTATGCATTAATTAAAAGTGGTTTAAGAAGAAGACTGCTGCTAAGTTTTATTAAAATCGTTTTAGCTGTTTTTGGCGCTATATTCTGAAATGAAAGATCGGATGGTAATGAAATGTATATAAAAATAGTCCTGAATTGTATTGGAACGTTCAAAATTTGAAAGCGATTGGTGAAGAACTTTCTGACAATAGCTGTGTGAACATACTAACATTCATATTTTTTTTTTTTATAGCCACTACCAAATGTTTTTTATTGATAACACTAACGCTCCTCAACAGCTACTAAACAAAAAAGGAAAATCGTTCGAGAAACAGTAGAAGAAGGGACTAAATGTTTTGTCTTGGCCTGCTTATATAATGATAATTAATTTTAAAAACTTGAGTCGGTTTACAATTTTTCTGGAAAATAATTTAATTTAAAATCAATACCGTCCAAAACGTGCCGTTGACGTAAAAGAGATTTCATTATTTACTCACATGGAAGCCACTACGTTGTGACGTATTAACTTTGTCTACCTCATGTGTGTCCCCAGATGGTCTGCGTTTATTTTAGGCTCGATTTTTTTTTTTTCCTTATTTGCCTTCGTTTAGAAAGAAGTATCAATTATTAAAAATAAAACAAAAACATATTGTTTCGTCGTTAAACAACTCATTATTATTCAATTCATTGTAGGTATTTTTATAATCATTAACATTTATATTTTATATTCATTGTATTGTTTATTAATAATAGATGGATTGAAACTTAATGGGTGTCATTGTTTGGTATTAATATAAAATAAGTGGTCTTTTGTTAACTATCACAACACTTAAAATAATCTAAGACTTATTTCATTAAACACCACTTCATGCTGTTGATATGAATTCCCAATTATTTTATTTGTTATTATATAAAAAAACATAAAGTAAAATAATATAAAAAATATAAGTGCCATATTATATGATACGTTTGATTCAAGCATTTATTTTCTCGAAACATTTTTTTTTTTATGTCAAATTATTCCCGTGATACCTTTCATTAATTTAAATATGTAATAATTTAAGAGGAAGCAATGGATGGAATTCGATAAAATTAATACAGCATATTTTTTCTCACTATTCCACTATTTTCTCTCATTTTGAGATATTATTTCATTTTTTGTACACAGACATATTAATTTACTTATTTTATTTTTTTATATTTCGTTTTCTTTATTATTTCTATCTTAGTTATTATTTGTATGTATATTTTGCGTGAATGATTCGTGTAACCTTAATATGAATGCCCTTTAATGTGGCAGAATGTATTAATTTTCAATAAAAAAAAATTTAAAAATTGGGATAATTGGAACGAGATATGTTGAAAATATAGAGGTGCCTAAGAAAATACATTTAATACAATAGTTTTCTTAAAGACATTTTCAAGATACCTTATTAATATCATTATAATGGGATATTGAATACTTGTTAGGAATTATTTAAAAATGAACTAAATAATTTTAGTTAGTATTATTTTTTAAACTTCACCTTCGTACTTGTACATGAAATTGCAATATACATATATATATATATATATATTATATACAATATACAAGCTACGTCCGTGGAAGGTTGAAAAGGAGCTGGATGAGGGACCTCCTCGCCTAATATAGATTACACGCCAGAAGGAGGTGCCGCTGGGTACTAATCCTCCTCATGCCTCTCATGTTGTTATATTTTGTAACGTACATCTAATTCACGAATTGGCATATTTTATTTTATGTCATTATACATACATCTCCGAACTCCTTCGATTCATTCCCGCAGTTCCCGCTCTATGTCTTCAGATCTATTTACTACGGACCCACCGAATCGCTGCTTTCGACGAATCGTTCATTATCCGATCCTCATCTCTGTCGAATTCCATATCGTCCCATATCCGTCGCACCCATACTTTTCCAACCTTTAAATCCCGCCAGTCTAGTCATTTTTTATCCATCCAGTCCCCACAAAATTGTAAATAGATATTACTGTAAATATATATATAAATTATTAGATCATTCTTAATTTTTTTTACTTATGGTTTATATATTTTTTTATTAATTCATTAAAGTCAGGAAGTAACTGATACTTTTTTATTATGACTATTTATTTAATACTAGTTGGCCCGTGCAAAAAATTCGCAGAAAATTTTGTTTAGGAAATAAGTAGTTCCTACAATATTCCATTAAACATAATAGACCAAAATAATTATACAAATTGTTTTGCTAGGACCTATTTTCAAACGCTGACTGGAAAGATAATAGAAGTAATAAAGACAAAACAATACCCCGGTCATAGGATATTCTAATTTATTAAAAAAAATAAAATAAAAGAACAAACAAATGTCTTTAAGAAATAATAAAGTTAATATAAAAGCCAGGAAAAAAAATGTAGTAGACTATTCTACTCCTAAATGCAATATCTTTAAACAGGAAGACATTATTAAGTATACCGAAACGAATGCACTGTATCTTTGTTAATAATTGTCTGAATTTTACAATTTTTTTTTTTTTTTGTTTTGTTTTGTAAGTAATTTAGTAATATTTCTCTTTTTTCTGGGTACAATCCAGAAAAAATGCATATTTATTGAGTTATTCGCAAATAAAGTTTATTTTTCTTCATTACTTTATTCCAGAAATTTCGGGGGGATGGGACTATTTTTCACATGTGAAGGAGAAGAATATCTTCAAAATGAGTGGTCAATCATTGGATTTGACGAAGAATTAACGAAGTTATGGCCAACCGACAAAAAAACACCTTTTAGAATTAATATATAGGATGTGATTATTATGTATGTATATTTGAGGTTCATTAGCCCACATTTCTGTATTTTTTTGTTATTCTAAAGGGACTCTTCTCAGAATAAATGAAGTATTATCATTATTATTTTTGAGCGATGCGA